CAGGTGTGTGGCAACCCTGCATCTAGCCAGTGTGTCAGTGCCATTTTTCCAACAGCATGTACTCGCTTCGTGTCTCTGTGTCTCATTTTGGTAATTCTTACAATATTTCAAACATTTAAATTATTACATCTGTTATGGTGATCTGTGATCAGTGGAGCTTTGATGTTACTATTGTAACATCTGGGCACCACAGACCACAGCCATGTAAGGCAGTGAAATTAATAAATGTTGTGTTCTGACTGCTCTACCAACCAGTCAGTCTCCTATCCCTATCCTTCTCCTCAGGGCTTGCTTTTCCCTGAGACACAACAATATTGAAATTAGACCAGTTAATAACCCTACAGTGGCCTTTAAATGTTTAAGTAAAAGGAAGAGTCACACATCTCTCACTTTAAATCAAAAGCTAGAAATGATTAAGCTTAGTGAAAAAAGGTTTGTTGAAAGCTGAAATAGACCAAAAGCTAGGTCTCTTGAGTCAGACAATTAGCCAAGTGATGAATGTAAAGGAAAAGTGGTTTTTTGTTTGTTTGTTTGTTTATTGGTTTTAAGAGACTGGGTCTTACTCTGTTGCCCAGGCTTGAGGGCAGTGGCATGATCATAGCTCACTGCAGCCTCAAACTCCCAGGCTCAAGCAATCCTCCCACCTCAGCCTCCAAAGTAGCTGGGACTACAGGTTCACACCACTGAGCCTGGCTAATTTTTTTTTGTTTTTTGCAGAGATGGGATCTCATTTTATTGCCCAGGCTGGTTTCAAACTCCTGGTCTCAAGCATCCTCCTATATTGGCCTCCCAAAATGTTGGAATTACAGGCATCAGCAACTGTTCCTGACCTAGAAAAGTTCTTAAAGGAAATTCAAAGTGCTGCTCCAGTGAATACATGCATGATAAGAAAGCAAAAACAGCCTAATGGCTGACATGGAGAAAGTTTTGAATGGTCTGGGTAGAAGATCTAACCAACCACATTCCTACAACTTAATTCAGAGCAAGTCCCTCTCTTCAGTTCTGTGAAGGTTAAGAGAGGCAAGGAAGCTGCAGAAGGATTTGAAGCCAGCAGAAGTTAGTTCATGAGGTTTAAGGAAGGAAGCTATCTTCATAACATGTAAGTACAAGGTGAAGCAGCAAGTGCTAATGGAGAAGCTGCAGTAATTTACTCAGAAGATCTAGCTAAGATCATTGATGAAGGTGGCTACACTAAACACAGACTTTCAGTGTAGACAGAACAGCCTTATTGGAAGAAAATGCCATCTGGAACTTTTATAGCTAGCAAAGAAAAGTTGATGCCTGGCTTTAAAGCTTCAGAAACAGGCTGACTCTCTTGTTAGGAGCTAATACAACTGATGACTTTAAGTTGAAACCAATGCTCATTGGTCATTCTGAAAATCCTAGGGCCCTAAGAGTTACTCTGTATCTACTCTGCCTGTGCTTTATAAATGGAACAACAAAACTGGGATGACAGTACATCTTTTTACAGCATGGTTTTCTGAATATTTTAAGTTCACTATTGAGAACTACTGTTCAGAAATAAATGATTCATTTCAAAATGTTAACTGCTCATTGACAATGCACTTGGTCACTCAAGAGCTCTGATGGAGATGTATAACAGAATGTTGTTTACATGGCTGCTAACACACCATCCATTCTGCAGTCCATGGATCAAAGAGTAATTTCAATTTTCAAGTCTTACTATTTAAGAAATACATTTTATAAGGCTATAGCTACCATAGATAGTGATTCTGCTGATGGGGAATCTGGGGAAAGTAAATTGAGAACCTTCTGGAAGGGATTCATTATTTTATTTATTTATTATTTATGTATTTATTTGAGACGGAGTCTTACTCTGTCACCCAGGCTGAAGTGTAGTGGCGTGATCTCGGCTCATTATAACCTCTGCATCCCGGATTCAAGCAAGTCTCCTGCCTCAGCCTCCCGAGTAGCTGGGACTACAGGCATCTGCCACCATGCCCAGCTAATTTTTGTATTTTAGTAGAGATGGGGTTTCACCATGTTGGGCAAGATGGTCTCGATCTTCTGACCTCGTGATCCACTGGCCTCAGCTTCCCAAAGTGCTGGGATTGCAGGCGTGAGCCACCTCTCCTGGCCCGGATTCATCATTCTAAATGCCATTGAGAACATTCATAATTCATGGGAGGTCAAAATATTAACATTAACAAGTGTTTGGAAGAAGTTGGTCCAACCCTCCTACATGATTTCTAGGAGTTCAAGACTTTAGTGAAGAAGTCACTGCAGATGTGGTATAAATAGCAAGAAAACTAAAATTAGAAGTGGAGTCTGAAGATGGGACTGAATTGCTGCCATGCCCTGATAAAACTTGAACAGATGAGCTACTTCTTACGAATGAGCAAAGAAAGTGGTTCCTTGAGATGGAATCTACACCTGGTGAAGATAATGTGAACATTGTTGAAATAACAAGGGATTTAGAATATTATATCAACTTAGTTGATAAAGCAGTGGCAGTGTTGAGAAAATTTACTGCAATCTTGAAAGAATTCTGCTGTGGGTGAAATGCTATCAAACAGCATCACATACTGCAGAGAAATATTTTCTGAAAGGAAGGATCAAATGTTGCCTCTACCCCCAACCCTCCACATATGGTGAGTGGGGAATAACAGTAGGACACTGGGCCTAAAGAAAAATAATGCCCTTCATTTGTGGAAGGATCGGCTGACTATTAAGAATGTTGCCAAGGCTTGCAAATGTCAGAAAGCAAATGCAAGCAGCATGAAATAGCAGTAAAGTAAGGGCCAGATCAAAAGCTGAAAAAGGAAGTATGGTTAATATAAATACATCCTATCTTTCACACCAATCATGATTTTTCAGAATATGAGCTCATGAACAACTGAAGAAGATTCTTTTCTGCTTTATTACCAACTTTCTTGCTTTATTCTCTTACAAATTCCGCATTTTCTTGAATTTTGCCAATGGAGATTTTACCTAACATGGCACCTTTTAGGAATGTAATCATCCCCACTCTCAATTGGTGAGAAATTACTGTAACAAATTCTGAAACACTTACATAGATTCTTATGAATCATGTTATGTTTTTTTCCCCCTGTCTTATGGTGCTGAATGAATCATGTTTAATTGAGAATTAGCTAAGGGGAAGAGTAGAGCAGTAAGGACATAGATTTATCTCTATTTATGTTTTCATTTACTACTTTTATCAAGAATAATAGCATTTTACCTCTTTTTTGTTGGTTTTTAAATACCACTCTCTGGAAAGTAAATTCAGGAATAATAAACTCCTTACCTATTCAGCATAATCCAATTTATTGTTAATTTCATTGTCTATTAACATAGTAAATAGTGTGTTGGCTTGTAACACTTCTCTCATAGAAGTAACAAACCAACCTCAAACTTAAGAATAATAAGGCAAGGCTGGGCACAGTGGCTCACACCTGTAATCCCAGCACTTTGGGAGGCCGAGGTGGGTGGATCACGAAGTCAGGAGATTGAGACCATCCTGGCTAACATGGTGAAACCCTGTCTCTACTAAAAATACAAAAAAACTAGCCAGGCATGGTGGCGGGTGCCTGTGGTCCCAGCTACTCGGGAGGCTGAGGCAGGAGAATAGCGTGAACCCGGGAGGCGGAGCTTGCAGTGAGCCAAGATCACACCACTGCACTCCAGCCTGGGTGACAGAGCGAGACTCCATCTCAAAAAAAAAAAAAAAAAAAAAAAGAATAAGGTACATGCCTCTTTTTTTCTTGAGAAAGACACCTGTTCCAGTGGATAGAAATGGCTAGGGAAAATCTATATCTATGTCTAGAAAGATGTAATTTCAACAAATCACAGACTCTCAGGATTAAAAGGAATACTGAATGTTATTGAGTCTTCAACCAAAGGCAGTTTGGATTAGAAAGAATGTTTGCTGTGGAATTAGAGGTCCTGGATCAAATCACAGCTTTACCACTTAATGACTGCACATTTTGGGTGACTTATTTAACCTCTCTGAGCCTTGGTTTTCTCATCTATAAAATAGGGATAGTGTCTACGTTATAGAGTTGGTGAGAAGATTGGAGATACTCTACATAAAGGAACTAGGACAGACACCATAAACATTTTAGAAATGATTGTGTTTGTTGTCATCATAATTATCTCACCAAGTGGACACTGAACTAACTTAAACATTCTGGTGACATAGGATTCACGAACTGCTCCAGTTGCCATCTCATGTTCAGAGAACCCTTCAGTGTTACGTCTTCCCTTTACTGAGCCTAAATATTTTCCCCTAGAACTTTCATCCATTATTCTCATTCTTGCCAGTGAGGCTACACAGATTAAGTCTATGTGACTAAATTAAGTGTGAAACTAGAATGGAATATATGCATCAAGAGTGGTGTGACCAGTGTAGATACTATATATTTATCATCACAACTTAGGATCGAACTATCTTCCTTTTGCTAGTAACCACCCTTTTGATAACTATTGAATTTGTTGTTCATAAAGCCTATTCTTCACTAGAATTTGGGTCCTGCATGCTGTACCAGTCACAATTTTGAGGGAGAGACTCAAGTGTAGAGCCTTACAATTTAATTTGTGTCATATTTATCAATAAATGTTAAATTCCTTATGATACAACAAATATAATTTGGCTCTTTAATCAGTTATAATGTCATATGGCATACCCATAAGTTAATGTGACTGACAGGTGGTTAAGAACCTGGTGCATTTTATTTAACAAACACTTTATATAGTATTTAATATATGCCAGCTACTGTTCTAGGTGCTTTACATATATCAACTCATATAATTCTCATAACAAACCTGTGTAGTAAGTACTATAATTATCCTCAGGTAAGGAAATTGAGGCACGGAGAAGTTAAGTAACTCTTTCAAGGTCAAATAGTAAGTACTAAAGCCAGGATTAGACCGGGGCTATCTAATTTTAGAACCTGTATTCATACTCATTATGCCCTGTTCCCAAAATTTTCTGTTACATAGATTGTTGTGGCTTTTTTTTTTTTTTTTTTTTTAGACAGGGTCTTGCTCTCTCACCTAGGCTGGAGTACAGTGACAGTGACCACTGCAACCTCCACCTCCCAGGCTCAAGCGATCCTCCTGCTTCAGCACCCCCACACCAGGCAACATAACAAGACCCCCATCTCTACAAAAAATTAAAAAAGAATTGTCAGGGTATGGTGACCGATGCATGTAGTCCCAGCTACTTGGGAAGCTGAGGTGGAATGATCGCTTGAGCCCAGGAGTTTGAGGCTGCAGTGGGCCATACTGTATCATTGCACTCCAGCCTGGGCAACAGAGTGAGATCCTATCTCAGAAAAAAACAAAAACAAAAAAACATGGCTGCAGTGGGCCGTGTTTGTGTGGGTCTGTTTCTAGGCTGTTGATTCTGTTCCACTGATCTTAAGTGTCTATTGTTTCACCAATACTAGATTATGTTGATTAATCTAGCTTTATAGTCCAACTTAAAATCAGGTAGTTTCATTCTTCAACCTTATTTTTCTTTTTCAAACATTTTGATTTTTCTAATTATTTTTAGATTTCTATATTAATTTTAGAATAAGCTTGCTGTATTTTAAAATTTAAAATTATAATTTGTATAAATTTTTAAAATACAATTTAAAATTTTATTAATTTTAGAATAGCTTGCTATATTTTAAAATTTTGTTTTGTGAGTTCTGTGGAGATATTTAGTGGAATTGAATTACACCATAGATTAGTTTGATGGGTTGAGTCTTCAGTTTTCTTTCCTTCCAGAGATTGGAGTCTTGCTATGTTACCCAGGCTGCAGTGCAGTGGCTATTCACAGGCATGATCCTGCTACTGATCAGCATGGGAATTGTGACCTGCTCCCTTTTTTACCTGGGCTGGTCCACCCCTCCTTAGGCAACCTGGAGTACCCCCCCCAGGAGGTCACCATATTGATGGCAAACTTAGTGCCAACACCCAAGCAGCATAGCGAACTACAGCCCAGAGCTCCTGGGCTCAAGCACTTCTTCCTCAGACTCCTGAGTACCTGGGATTTTTCCAGTTCTGAACATAGTATATCTCTCCATTTATTTATAGTTAGATCTTCTTTGATTGCTTTCATTAATGTTTTGTAGTTTTCAGCATACATATTCTATTAATGCTTTGTTAAATTTGTACCTTAGTATTTCAATATTTTTGGAGCTATTGTAAATGGTATTGTTTAAAAAATACTAGTTTCTAGTTGTTCATTGCTGGTATATGGATGTAAAATGTGTGTGTGTTTACCTTTTGTCCTATGACTTTACTAAAGTCAGTTCTAGGAGTTTTTTTTAAATCACTTGTTTGGTTTTCTATGTAAACAATCATGTCATCTGCAAATAGACATTTTTATTTCTTCCTTCCCTATCAGTATGTCTTTTATCTTCTTGCCTTATTACACTGAATAAAATTCCAATATAATATCAAATAGCAATGGTGAGTGAAGACATTCTTACCTTGTTCCTGACCTTAAGGGGTAGAATTCAGTCTTTCACCACATGTAATACGATATTAGATGTTGGCTTTTTGTACATAACCTTTATGAGGTTGTGGAAATCCCGTTCTACCCTCGTCTGCTGAGAATTTTTTTTTTTTTTTAATCTGAATGGATGTTGAAATCTGTCAAATTTTCTTCCTTTCCTTTCTTTCCTTTCTCTCTCCTTCCTTCCTTTCTTCCTTCTTTCTTTCTTTTTTTTTTTTTTTTTTTTTTTTTTGATGGAGTCTCACTGTGTCGCCCAGGCTGGAGTGCAGTGGCACAATCTTGGCTCACTGCACCCTCCACCTCCGAGGTTCAAGCAATTCTGCTTCATCCTTCTGAGTAGCTGGGACCACAGGCATGCGCCACCACACTTGGCTAATTTTTGTATTTTTTGTAGAGAGAGGGGTTTCACCATGTTGGCCAGACTGGTCTCGAACTCCTGACCTCAGGTGATCTGCCCGCCTTAGCCTCCCAAAGTGCTGGGATTACAGGCATGAGCCACCAAGACTGACCTGTTAAATGCTTTTTATGTATCAAATGACATGATCATGTAGCTTTTCCTCTTTAGTAATACGGTGGATTACATTGATTGATCTTTAGAATATTGATCCAGCTTTGCATTTTCAAGATAAACCTCATTTTGACATGGTATATAATATTTTTATATACTGCTGGATTCAATTTGTTAATATTTTGTTGAAGATTTTTGTGTCAAAATCCAAGGCAGATATTGGTGTATAGTTTTTTCTTGTCCTGTCTTTGGTATCAGAATAATGCTGGTTTTATAAAAATAAATTGGTAAATGTTCCCTCCTCCTCTATTTTCTGGAAAGAATTTGTGTAGAATTGGTATTAATTCACCTTTAAATGATTGATAGAATTTGACAGTGTAACCATCTGGGCTTGGAAAAAGTTTTTGAAAGGTTTTAAACTAAATTCAATTTCTTTACAGGTATAGGATTCATCAGGTTATTTAAATTTGCTTATGTGAGCTTTGGTGGTTTGATTTTGAGGAATTAGTCTATTTCACATAGGTTGTCATATTTATGTGTGTTGAGTTGTTCATAGTATTTCCTTATTTTTAGAATACCATTGCATTTGTAGTGATATCTTCTCTTTCATTCCTGATATGGTAAGTTGTGTCTTTTCTTTGTAATCTTGCAAGAGATTTGTGAATTTCACTGGTCTTAAAGAACCAGTTTTTAGTTTCATTAATTTTTCTCTATTGATTTTCTGTTTTCAATTTCATTCATTTCTGCTCCTAGCTTTTAAAAATTTTCTTCCTTCTGCTTGATTTGGGTTTATTTTATTATTATTAACTTTTTAGCTTCTTAAAGATCAGTGACATGAGACCTTTCTTCTTTTTTAATGTCAATATTTCATATTATAAATATAAATTTCCCTCTAAGCATTGCTTTAGCTGAATCCCATTCCACAAATTTTCATATGTTGTGTTTTCATTTTCATTCAGTTCAAAATATTTTTTCCTTTTGGCTTCCTCTTTGACCCATGGATTACTTAGAAGTATAATGTTTATAAATGTTTGGAGATTTTACTTTTACTTCTAAGTTTATTGTATTATGACTGGAGAGCATATTTTATATGATTTCAATTCTTTTTTAGGCTGGATTATGTTTTGATGAATGTGCCATGTACATTTAAAAGAGCATGTATTCTGCTATTGTTGAATGGAGTATTTTATAAATATCTATTAGGTACAGTTGGGTTGATGGTATGGTTCAATTTTTCTATATTTTTGCTGATTTTCTGTTTACTACTTCCATCCATCCCTGAGAGAGGAGTATTGGTGTTTCCAAATATAATTGTGGATTTGTCTGTTTCTCTTTTCAGTTCTATCAGGTTATGATTCACACATCTTATAATGTCCTTCTTTATCTCCAGTAATTTTCTTTGCTCTGAAGTCTACTTTCTCTGATATTAATGTAACTATTCTCGCTTCCTTTTGGTTAGTGTTCGCATGGCATATATTTTTCTATTTTTAACATACCTATATAAATGTATTTTGAATTGAGTTCTTTTTTACAACACATACATAGCTCAGTCATGTTTTTGCATACATTTTACCAGTCTGTTTTAGTGGGTATATTTAGGTTTTTTCTCACGTAATGTAATAATTGATATATTCAGATTTAGGCCTGCCATTTTATTTATTTGTTTTCTATTTGTTTCCTTTTATTTTCTTTCATGTATCTGTTTTCTCTTTCCTACCTTCTTTTGGGGCGTTTGTATATGTTTTAAAATTCCATATTTTTGTTAGTTTTTGACTATATGTTCTTTTTAAAAAAGTTTTTAATAATTGAGATCAAAATATAAATATTTAATTTTACACAACCTACTTAGAATCAATATTTTAACACTTCAAGGGGGATATAGAAATGTTATAATCATTTAGCTCCCATTACCTTTCCCTCTTTATGTTGTAGTTGTCTTATGTATTGCATTTACATACACTGAAAACCCCATTAATGTTATCAGTTCTGCTTTCAAACATGAAACAAATTTTAAGGAACTTAAGAGGTGAATTGTTTATTTTATTTACCATTTCTGTTTTTCCTTCTTTATTCCTTGTTTTTGTTTTGTTTTGTTTTGTTTAGAGTCAGGGTCTTGCTCTGTCACCAAGGCTGGAGAGCAGTGGCACAATCATAGCCCACTGTAACCTCAAATTCCTGGACTAGAAGTGATCCTCCTACCTCAGCTTCCAAGTTGCTAAGACTACCACCATGTCTGGCTCCTCCTTTATTCTTGATGTTTCAGGTTACCTTATGATGTCATTTCCGTCTGTCTGAAGAAGTTCCATTCGTAATTCTTTAGAGCAGGTATGCTGACAACAAATTATCTTTGTTTTCCTCCCCTAAAAATGTGTTTATTTCTGATTTAATCATGAAGGATATTTGTGCTAAATATAGAATTCTGGGTTTACAGGTTTTTATTTTTAGCCCTTTAAGTTGTTCTACTTCATTCCATCCTCCATGGTTTCTGATGAGAAATCTACAGACATTCACGTTGCTTTTCCCCTGTAAATAATGTATCATTTTTTTCTACTGGCTTTCAATAATTTTTCTTGTTTCAGTTTTTAGCAGTTTGATTATGATGTGTTTGGGCATGAATTTCTTTGGTTATACCCTGTTTGGTGTTCTCTGAGTTTCTTGAATCTGTAAGTTATGTTTTTCACCAAATTCAAGAAATTTTTATTCTTTCAAATATTCGTTACTACATTGTATTCTTTCCTCTCTTCTTCTGGATCTCCAGTATCATAAATGTTAGATCTTTTGGTATTGTCCCACCAGTCCCTCAGGCACAGCTTTTTTTCCTCAATATTTTTTCTCTCCATTGTTCACATTGGATAATTTCTGTTGCCTCATCTTCAAATTCACCGACTATTTCCTCTCTCATCTCCATTCTGTAATTGAGCCCATACAATTAGTTCTTTATTTGTTATTATATTTTTTAGTTCTGAATTTCAATTTCATTGTTTTTTTAAATTATTTTTTGCATTTCTTTCAGGAACTTTTTTATCTTACGATCTGGTACACTTGTCTAATAACTGTTTTAAAGCTATAGTCAGCTAATTCCAGCATCTGTAGCATCCTGGCATTGTCTCTATTGTCTTTTCTTATGTGAGTTGAGATTTTCCTGGTTCTCTTACACTGAATAGTTTTGAATTGTAT